TCTATGATTTCTGGGGGTAAGCTATTCCACTGGTTAATTGTCTTCACTGTCAGGAAGTTTCTCCTTAATTCCAGGTTGCTTCTCTTCTTTGATCCGTTTCCAAATATTGTTTCTTGTCCTGCCCTCTGGTGCTTTGGTGAATAACGTGACCACCTCTTCTTTGTGGCAGCCCCTCAAATACTGGAACACTGCTATCATGTCTCCCCTATTTCTTCTTTTCTTTAGACTAGCCAAACCCAAGTCCCGCATCCATTCTGAAGAAGCATGGCATTTAAATGCACCAAGTGACTAGATGATAACTTTGTGTGAACCTAAAAAGGGGAAAAACTGAATTGCACTCCTCGCAAATATAGACCTGCATTTTCAAATCCATGTTGCATATTTGCTCTTAGCTGGCATTAGCCTGTTCCTGTCTAGCAGGATTTTTTTTACTGTTTTCTCATCTCTTCAGCTTTACTAACTACTTGCAAAGATGGTAGAGACTGGAGGAGAAAATGTTGTTTTTCTTTGGGTTCCAAGGTTAAAGGGGAGGAAGTGATGTGATTCTTTGTATTGTTTCTTGTAAAAAAGATTTGTCTAAAAGCAACATTCGGTCAGGAGCCTGGTTTGAAAGTACGTGCCCATATTTTGAAGGGGTACCATCAGGAATTCTGGTAGTAGCATTAAGCTAAAGATACAGAGAAAGAAGCAAGAGGATTCAGCGTAATTTATGGTATGTAGATCTGAAAGAACAGCTTCTCCTCGAAATAGACCAATGAGGAATGAAAGGAGCCAGTAAAAACACTGCAGGTAGCCCTCGACACACGGCCACAACTGGGACAAGAATTTCCGTTGTTAAGTGAGTCATGTCTAATTTGACAACTTTTTTGCCATGTTCAGGGAATCACTCCGGTCATTAAGTGACTCACAGGATGGTTAGTGTACTCAGCTTTCCCTGTTGGAAGTCACCTTGGAAGATCACAAATGATGATCCTATGACCCCCCCCCCCGAATGTTACAATGGTTGTAAGTGTGATGACTGCTCACAAGTCACTTTTTCCAGTGCCGTTGTAACTGTGAGTGCTTGCTAAACGAGTGGTTGAAAGTTGAGAACTACCTATATTTGAAATTTGGATCGGGGTATCCCACAAGCCCTAACTGTAAGCATTTAGTTATGACAAAAGTATCAAAGAGCAGTAGCTAACACCAAGGCTGTTTCTGGAACCATTCAGTTAAGACATTTTCTCTTTACTAAAATGGTTATAATCAAAGAATTACAATATTCCAGGAGGTAATCTTGCCCATCTTCCGTGCTCTGTTTGTTTCCATGTTTATCTTTGGGGCTGCTTGTGATTTTCTTTGTGTTTTGTATTTTTCCTGGATTTGTTTTCCCATTTCCCTTTTTTTTTTAATTGTCAGTCCCCTAGAAATTAATTAAGGACCTTAATTTAAAAAATTCATCTATGTATACCAGAGGTCCCCAATCTTTTGGGCACCAGGGACCGGTTCCATGGAGAGAGGTTTTTCCACGGACCAGAGGGGGCATGGTTTTGTGTGCTGCCTGCATCCCACGGATGGGGTTTCACCTGTTTGTGCGGCCGCAGCCTAGTACTGGTCCACAGACCGGGATTGGGGACCTCTGATCTATACTGCCCATTAGAGAGTCAAGTAGCATAGATATTGTATAAAGATTTTTTTTTAAAGGGGGTGATTAAAGGAAGGCAGTTTCTCTTAATTTTCAGCTAAAGTCTAGTTCCCTCCATGTTGGACTGGACTTGTACTCCTAATTGCAGAGAATAAATCTGAAAACTGAAGATTGCCTGGGTTCGTGAAACATTTTGATTGGAACCCCACTGTTTTGATAAACTAATTGCTTTAACCTATAGTTTTATTAATTGACTTAAAAATGGACATCCCAGTCTTCCCGGGCTGAGCGGTAGGTGGTGGGGGCATTGGTTTCTGGCCGTCCCCGGGCCGCTGAGCCGGACTCGCCTCTTCCCGGGCTGAGCGGCAGACGGCGGGGGCATTGGTTTCTAGCCGTCCCCAGGCCGCTGAGCCGACCTCGCATCTTCCCAGGCTAGGCGGCAGGCGGCGGGGGTATTGGTTTCTGGCTGTCCCCGGGCCGCTGAGCTGGCCTCGCGTCTCCCTGGGCTGGGCGGCAGGCGGGGGCATTGGTTTCTGGCCATCCCCGGGCTGCTGAGCCGGTCTCGCGTCTTCCCGGGCTGGGCGGCAGGCGGCGGGGGTATTGTTTCTGGCTGTCCCCGGCTGCTAGCTGGCCTCGCGTCTCCCTGGGCTGGGCGGCAGGGGGGCATTGGTTTCTGGCCATCCCCGGGCCGCTGAGCCGGCCTCACGTCTTCCCGGGCTGGGCGGTAGGTGGTGGGGGCATTGGTTTCTGGCCGTCCCCGGGCCGCTGAGCCGGACTCGCCTCTTCCCGGGCTGAGCGGCAGGCGGCGGGAGCATTGGTTTCTAGCCGTCCCCAGGCCGCTGAGCCGACCTCGCATCTTCCCAGGCTAGGCGGCAGGCGGTGGGGGTATTGGTTTCTGGCTGTCCCCGGGCCGCTGAGCTGGCCTCGCGTCTCCCTGGGCTGGGCGGCAGGCGGCGGGGGCATTGGTTTCTGGCCATCCCCGGGCCGCTGAGCCGGCCTCGCGTCTTCCCGGGGTGGGCGGTAGGTGGTGGGGGCATTGGTTTCTGGCCGTCCCCGGGCCACTGAGCCGGACTCGCCTCTTCCCGGGCTGAGCAGCAGGCGGCGGGGGAATTGGTTTCTAGCCGTCCCCAGGCCGTTGAGCCGACCTCGCGTCTTCCCGGGCTGGGCGGCAGGCGGCGGGGGCATTGGTTTCTGGCTGTCCCCGGGCCGCTGAGCCGGTCTCGCGTCTCCCTGAGCTGGGCGGCAGGCGGTGGGGGCATCAATTCCTGCCTGTCCCCGGGCCACTGAGCCGGTAAAATCAACGGACTTGGAGGTGCTGTGACTGACCTTTCGAGTCGGCGCGGACCTCCATTGACTTCCATGGGGACTCTTGGCAATGAAGGGGCTGATTGAAATTGCTTCAAGAATCGAGCTGCAGGATGGCTTTGAGTGGCAGAGACACCGAGAGATGCAAACGCATCTCCACAGGAGATACAGCAAGGGCAGGAGACGAGGAGTCAGCTATGTCTGTGCACAAGCCCCGAAAGCTTTCTTCTTCTCCCTGATCGCCTTTCTTGCTGGCCCTCTGATGTAAGCGTCTGCTGGGTTTCCTCAACCTCCCCCCCTGTTTTATTTTAATCCCACCATCGCCTCCCTCTTTTGCAAAGTTGACATTCTGGGGACTCGTGCCTCGTTTCGCTCCTGGAGTCACTTGGCAAAGTTTGAAGGAGAGGCTGTCTGCTCCCACCTCCCATGGAGCAGAACTGCTGCTTCCTCGCCCTCCCAGCGAAAGAACCCCAGAGAGCTGGAAGACGTCCTTTCTCCCACTTTCCGCTTCCCATCCTCTCTTTTCCGAGCACCCCTCCCAGAGGGGGCCAGAAGCCTCAACTCTAGCCTCCTGCAGCAGGCTGAGATAGGCGAGCCTGAGCGGCCGTCTGCTGCTGCCTTGGAAGATTTACCGCAGCAGCTCTTTCTCCCCATCGGCCGCCTCCTCCGCTCCCTTGGAACCTTCGCGCCAAAAGCGGAAAGAAGAAAGTCCCAGAGAGGGAGAGCGCGGGGCGGGGGGAGAGCAGTCTTTTCCGAGGGGAGGAGAAGCCAGGACGTCCATACCAGAGCTGGATGGGGGGCAAGACTGGCGCACATCTCACCTTAAGCTCCACTCTTTAATCAAGCCCTGTGTTCTGTGCGCATGTGCACCGCACATTTTGCGGCTCCCAGTTTTTCCTTTTGCGAGGGAAACGGGTCCAAGTGGCTCTTTCACTGTTGCAGGTTGCCGACCCCTGCACTAGTCCAAACTGTCTCTTTTACTTGCAGTAAAAAGGAGGATTTCTAACATGACAGGACATTTTTGTAGGTTGGGATGGGATCTTGGAAATCCTCTAGTTTGGCCTTGTTCAATTTAGGCATCCTTCCAGATGGCATGGACATCATCCTAATTTTCCAGCCAAGCTGGGGAAAGCTGATCTAGTCCATAACCCTGTTCATACTATAAAGCATGTAATGACAATATCTTGGATAGTACTTTCAAGGCTGGAGAGCTACACCTAAGGTGATCTTGACAGAGATATGTAGGATCTGTTGCCTGGGCAAAAGGGGTTGAAGCATTAAGTCACAATGAGATAGCATTTGGAAGTGGCTCAGGCCTCCTTAATTCATTGCAATATAAAAAGGAGGAAAGAATAATCAGAATTACAAGATTTTGTTATTCTAGCTCAGGGGTGTCAAACTGCCGGCCTGCGGGCCGGATGCGTCATGCGGAAGCTGCGCCCACCCATTGGCGGCAATGGCAAAACAGTCCCGATACGTTGCGTGATGTCACGTGACGTTGCGAGTTTGACATGTCTGTTCTAGCTAATCCCTATAAAAGACTTCCTGTGGAGTTGCTTTCCCAGTCTAGTTTACCTAGTGGAGCCGACATCATTAGGTAAGAGGTATTCAAGTCACCTGTTGAACACCTCTTACTGTTAAGAAATTCCTTCAAATGTATAGATGAAATTTAATTCCTTGCAATTTCTACCTTTCATTTTTAGCCCTCTGTTTGTAAGTGTACTAGCATGCTCTCTTACAGCACTGTGCATCCCTGGGAAGATATGTTGGTTGACTGCCCTTAAATCTTAAGGTTTTTGAGGATCTTCAAAAACAGATGTGTTTTTGAAGATTTTTTTGAAGTTTTTGTGCTAACGGATGTTGCCTCAAATTTAATGTTTTGTTATTTTTTTAAAAAAATCTGTATTTATATTGTTACGTTATGCTCCTTTGGTAGGGATTAGATGAGTCTGTTTCAGAGAATATTGCCTTCAAAAATGTCGTAGATTCAGTTCAGAGCGGATCTCACAGTAACTGTTGCTGTCTTTTAAGCATCTGTTAATTGATTATTTTTCTGTTTCCCTTTTTGCAGGTATGGAGCAAAAGGAAGCGCTATAAGAATAGAGGTAGTGGTGTATACAGGCAGAGAAGGAAAAAGTTCCCAGGGGTGTCCAATTGCCAAGTGGGTGAGTTTTTATTTTTTAGTAATGTAAGACACATTTGTGTTTACTTTACTTCCACTATATTTTCCTATAATATTGATGATGCTTCATGTTCATAAAATATTTTTCCTTGGTGCTCAGAGGCATTTATCTTACTAATATATCCCACTCTAAATTAAAAAGTACTGTTGTGTATGAACAGAAAGATCAACATGTATTAAAAAGAATACAATTATTGTCCAGGTAGTCCTCACTTACCAGCTGCATCATTGAGTGACTTTTCAAAGTTACAACAGTGTTGAAAAAAATAACTTTGTATGCAGTACCTGCATTTATGACCTCAGCAGTGTCTTTGTCTTGTGATTGCCATACAGTCAGTATCTGTTGTATTATGCTGACCTGTTCTTTGTCTTTGTTTCCCCCCTTGCAGACCAGAGAGATTAGAGAGGAAGGATTACAAGAGAGTAAGCAGGCATACAGTGGGGGATATACTGTACATCAAAAGCAATGTGCCAACAGCTGCAAGCACACTCTGCAGACATTCCTCATTGTGTGCCTTCTTACTTTCTTGTAATCCCCTTCTCTCCAACAAATGTAAATACAAACATTTTTTTTCTTAATTGTCCCAACTGAGCATTCCAAAGGGCGGGGGGGGGAGGGATAATTAGGAGGCAAACAAAAGCTGAAGATGTGAAACTGATTGCTCTTGTCAATGTTGAACTAGGAAGCACAGCCTGGGTCACACGATTTTGCACTTTGTGATCCCTTCCTTTAGTGATGGGATTGCTGATTCCAATTGTGATTCCTAAATGAGGACTAGCTTACATAGTCAGTAATGAAAGGAATTGAATTGGCAACAAAATGAAAACCAGGAAGAGAATTCCAGCATCTGTTGATGAAACGCCAAGAGGCAGAAATCCATTACAACCTAACAGATGCCCAAAAGCTCTCAGAAAGAGAACGACATGGCATCAGTGTCAGGAGAGGGATCAGAATGAACTCCACAACCTTTATCTCAATGAGCAAGGGTCATTTCTCAAACCAGTAGGAGGGCTGTCAATGATCAGAGCAGGGAACAGATGAGGACTAGCTTCAGATGCTTCTAGCCCTGGACGAAAAAGTGCAAGGAAATGGACAGGCTTTTCCTGCTCTAAATTGGCTACATAAGGATCTCATTTGAAAAAAGATATCGCTGGAATTCTTGATTGGAACCTTAACTTTCTTTCTAATCAATGCCATTGATCTAAGCCAGAGGTTCTCAAGCTTTTTAATGCCGCGACCCCCAACCGGTCGTAAGTCGAGGACTATCCAACCGATCGTAACTCGAGGACTACCAACCGGTCGTAAGTCGAGGACTTTCCCTGCCCGGGAGCGCCGTGCATGCGTGGTGCCGCCCCCTGCGCCGGCCGAAGCATAGCTGGCAAATGGTAGAGACGGCGCAGGCCGACCACCAGCTGGGCCACCAGCTGGCCCAGCCCAAGGGAGGTAAGGCATCCGCTGGACCCCACGCGCTCCAGCAACCCTCCCTGCACCCGCCGGCCTCCCCCTCCCACCCCTGGACCTCTTTTACTTACATTTTTAGTAGTTGCTCAGCAGGGAAGGGTGGAAACTTCCAGACAGCTCACCTTCGTTGCAGACAACTTGCAGCACCGTTTGCAGAATGGGACTTTTGGCGGGCTCAGCAGGGCAGAGACAGCCTGGACAATTCCTGTTGCCTTTTGAAAGCCAATAGAATTAGGCTCTATTCAAGAGAGTCTATTCTATTGGCTTTCAAAAGCCAATATAATAAAAGGGAGTAGCACAGCTAAGGAAAAGGGGGAAAAAATGGCGGACTGCATTGTTTGGCGACCCCCGTGAAATGGGGTCCCGACCCACAGGTTGAGAACCGCTGATCTAAGCAGTTGCATAACTCTTTAACAATTTCCAGTCTAGACTGCAAGGAGTCTGGCACATTATTTTGAAAACCTCCCTGTCCAGGGAGGGGCCCTCACATGTCAAGGGAGCTTAACAGCATGGATTCCACGAGGGCTCTTGTAAATATAGCTAGACTCATAGGGGAAGAAGAGGGTGCAGGACACAGGAAGCCTTTCTAACAGTTGATATTCTTTATGTTACCATCACTCATTCAGTAACTGTTCAAAGTTCTGTGGTGATGAATGAGAGGGACGTACAAGGGGTCCTTGGAGTTTCAGCCATTGCAGCATCCCCACAAAGTCATTGGGGAAGCTGGCAGGAAGTCAGGTCAGGTGAAGTTTTCGCTTAATGACCCACATGGTCCTCACTTAACAGTGGCAACCAAGACTGCCAGAACTGCTGTCATGAAGCTACATAGTCATGTAACCTTGCGCTTTATGACTGCAATCCTTGATGATAGCAATTCCAACCCCAATTATCGTTATGACCCAATTACCTATATTGGAACCGCTCGTGTTATTGATCACGAAATATTGACGCAAATTGTGATTGAGTTTTGGCAGTAAACCACATTTCTAAATTTCCTTGGCAACTGCAACTGCTTAGTCTCTCAAAGGCTTTACTCTAAACATCTACACAAAGGATTTGGTGAAATGAACCCTGACAAATTAAAAATACTTAGAAGGGTATGATAAGCCTTAGGTTATATACAATTATTTCTGAAATATTTTGGAACTGACCTGCTTGATTTGTAGATTGCACCTTCAAATCTTGACAGTGCTCTACCTGCAAAATATGCTTTGTGTCTGTATATAGTTTAAGACCTGGTTCAGACAATTTAACATTATTTTTAACAATAATGTAATTCGGCAATGATGGCAAACATATGTATATGAGTAAGCTATTATGTTGTGGTTTTCATGGTTTTCTTTTGGCCCTTTAAAAGCATTTAGCTGGCTATTGAGTGCAGCAGAATATTTATTTTATTCATATATAGTTAGCCCTCATATATAGTTAACAATGAGGTTGGGACTGGCAACTTGGCCATTAAGTGGAGTGGTCACTAAATGGAACCATGCTGTGCTTATACTCTTCAGAGTGTACGATCTGTGAAGGGAACAAAGTTACTTGTTTGTCACTGTTGTAACTGTGAATAGTCCCTCTATGAGACACTTGCTAAATAAGGAGTACCCGCATTGAATTGATTATAGATTAATGCCAAATTGGGCAAGGCTAAATATTTATAAATTAATTTATTTTTCCTCCCCTGTTCTTTTTTTGTAAGAGGAGAATTATGAATATATATATATATATATATATATATATATATATATATATATATATATATATATATATATATATATATTGATCAGTGAAGTTAGCTGATTGTAACTGTCGTTATGAACTGTCAGTGGGAATAGTAATAGAAGTAGCAATCTCTTGTAGCTGTTACAGCTGATGGGGAAGATTATACAGCAAAACGATGGGTTGCAATTCAGATATCTAATACGCTGGTGGATTCTCAATACTGTTTTATTCTTAGAAAACATTGCCTGCAGTCCATGACATTGTTACAGTTTCCTGATTTATGCTGGAATGGTGTGTCAGGCCTACTCCAGCTTGGTCTTATAGGATAGAAATACTCTCAATTCTATGTCTAGCAAAAAGAATTTTTTGTACTAAAAAAGCCAAGGGGTTACAATAAAGCAAAGCCAGAACTGAGGTTTTGCACACGGAGGTCTCCCAGTTAACTTTCCCCTTTTCATTCCTCTCTCCCCTTCCCTTATCTCCCAATTGTCCAGTGACATTTGAAGGAGGTGTTTTGGTGGCTGTCTCTGCAAAGGCAGGCTGGATCAGGAACCATTCCATTTCCCAGCCTGTGGCCTCGGAGTGGTGAGCCAACGTCTTGGGGATGGCATGGTGCTTAGTTTCACTTTCCCCCTTTCTCCCAGCTCTCCCCCCCCCCGGTAGTTCATGGCAGACTGGCATCTGAAAGGATGGCAGTCCGGACACTGTGCTGGGAATTTAATGCTGGAAAAAATAGTGGTGCCCTATTTGTCCTTGAAATAAACAATGCCGATTGCTCTCAGTAAGAGTGTAAGGCAATTCTTTAAGAAAAGTTTACTTTTAAATAGGTTTGATTGGTTTTTAAAAAGTGTATATTTCAGTAAAACACAGGCACAGCTTCTGCGTTGCTTTTAGAGCAGTGGGTCTCAACCTTTTTAATGCTGCGACCCCAACTGGTTGTAAGTTGAGGACTACCCAACCGGTCGTAAGTCGAGGACTACCCAACCGGTCATAAGTCAAGGACTTTCCCTGCCTGGGAGCACCACGCATGCGTGGTGCCGCCCCCTGCGCCAGACGAGGCGTAGCTGGCAAGCGGCAGAGATGGTGCAGGCCGACCACCGGCTGGGCCACCAGCTGGCCCAGCCCAAGGGAGGTAAGGCACCCACTGGGCCCCACGCGTGCCAGCAATCCTTCCTGCGCCCGCCGGCCTCCCACCTTCCACCCCTGGCCCTCTTTTACTTACATTTTTAGTAGTTGCTCAGCAGGGATGGGTGGAAACTTCCAGACAGCTCGCCTTCACTGCAGACAACTCCCAGCACCGTTTGCAGAATGGGACTTTTGGCGGGCTCAGCAGGGCAGAGACAGCCTGGACAATTCCTATTGGCTTTTGAAAGCCAATAGAATTAGACTCTATTCAAGAGAGTCTATTCTATTGGCTTTCAAAAGCCAATAGAATAAAAGGGAGTAGCACAGCTAAGGAAAAGGGGAAAAAAATGGCGGACTGCGTTGTTTGGCGACCCCCGTGAAATGGTCGTTCGACCCCAAATGGGGTCGCGACCCACAGGTTGAGAACCACTGTTTTAGAGTTACCTGTGAGTTTCTTATTGCCAGCTCTGCAGAGAGAATGATTTAGAGTATGTTAATGTTGGCTTGTTCCGTGAACTGTACGGCTTCTATCCTGCCTAGATAACTGATGCTAGCTGTGCCAGCATAGAACTGTTTGCTCTTAAATCATCATCACAGTTGTGATGAAACTTTTCTTGGTTGGCTTGGGAATCGTTGGAATTAGCTTTAGATCTTAAATGAATCTTAAATGAAACAGA